TGGAGGGGGGAGCTGGAGTGGGGAAGGTGGAGGGGGCAGGGGATGAGGAGGATGGGGCGAGGGGCCTCTTCAGAGCAGGGACCCTTCCTGATGGAGGTGAGGGATAGTGTCCCCGCTGTCACTGTGAAGTGTGCTACAGTGGTTCAGGCACCCACTCTCCGGGTTGTCACAGGATTGAAGGAGGGTGCTTGGCACAGGGTGAGTGCCCAGTGAGGGTGGTCATGACCGTAGATGGCACCCAGCAGCGCTTGCTCAGTGGATACTTGTCTCTGGGGAAGCTGGGGGAGTGGGGAGGGGGTATGGAGTTTGTTTCTGAGGCTCCATTGGGGCAGGAGGGAATCTGGCTGGCGCCCCCACAGCGGAGGTGTGGGGGGGGAACCACAGGACGGAGCTGGGGAGTGGCCTCTTACCTGTCCTGAGCCTGGCCTGGAGGCTGGGAGGGGTGCATCAGGCCTCCAGCGCCCTCCCTGCTCTGTGACGCAGGGCCCCAGGCGCACACAGGCCTCACACGGTCTGTCCTGGCCTCGGACCCGGGCGGACCATGGCGGCGCTGCGACTCCTGGCTTCAGCACTCGGGCGCGGGGTCCCCATCGGCGGCTCAGGGCTGGCGCTGTCCCAGGGCTGCGCCCGCCGCTTTACCACCAGCCCCCGGCGCCGCGCCAAGTTCTACAGGGACCCAGTGGAGATGGTGAAGGACATCCCTAACGGGGCGACCGTCATGATGGGGGGCTTTGGGCTCTGCGGGATCCCCGAGAACCTGATCGCTGCTCTGCTCAGGACCCGCGTGAAGGACCTGAAGGTGGTCAGCAGCAACGTGGGCGTGGAGGACTTCGGCCTGGGCCTCCTGCTGGCCACCAGGCAGGTCCGCCGCATCGTCTGCTCCTACGTGGGCGAGAACTCGCTGTGCGAGAAGCAGTACCTGGCGGGCGAGCTGGAGCTGGAGCTCACGCCGCAGGGCACCCTGGCCGAGCGCATCCGCGCGGGGGGCGCCGGGGTGCCCGCCTTCTACACCCCCACGGGCTACGGGACCCTGGTCCAGGAAGGGGGCGCCCCCATCCGCTACACCCCGGATGGCCACCTGGCAATCATGAGCCAGCCCCGAGAGGTGAGGGAGTTCCACGGCGACCACTTCCTTTTGGAGCGCGCCATCCGGGCGGACTTCGCCCTGGTGAAAGGCTGGAAGGCCGACCGGGCAGGAAACGTGGTCTTCAGGAGAAGCGCCCGCAATTTCAACGTGCCCATGTGCAAAGCCGCAAACGTCACAGCAGTGGAGGTGGAAGAGATCGTGGACGTGGGGACTTTCCCCCCAGAAGACATCCACGTCCCTAACATTTATGTAGATCGCGTGATAAAGGGGCCGAAATACGAGAAGGGAATCGAGCGCTTAAGGATCTGGAAAGAGGAAGGTGCAGATGCCCTGAAGGAAGAGGACCCCAGGACGCGCATCATCAGACGCGCAGCTCTGGAATTTGAGGACGGCATGTACGCCAACCTGGGCATAGGCATCCCCCTGCTGGTCAGCAACTTCATCAGCCCCCACATGACCGTCCACCTTCACAGTGAGAACGGGATCCTGGGCCTGGGCCCGTTTCCCACAGAGGACGAGGTGGATCCCGATCTCATCAACGCAGGCAATCAGATGGTCACGGTGCTTCCTGGGGGTAGCTGTTTCGCTAGCGACGACTCCTTCGCCATGATCCGAGGTGGACACCTCCACCTAACCATGCTCGGAGCCATGCAGGTTTCCAAATACGGAGACCTGGCCAACTGGATGATCCCTGGCAGGAAGGTGAAAGGCATGGGCGGTGCCATGGACTTGGTGTCCAGTCAGAAGACCAGAGTGGTGGTCACCATGCGGCACTGTGCAAAGGACAACACCCCCAAAATCATGGAGAAATGCACCATGCCGCTGACCGGGAAGCGGTGTGTGGACCGCATCATCACCGAGAAGGCTGTGTTCGATGTGCACAAGAAGAGAGGCCTGACGCTGAGAGAGCTCTGGGAGGGCCTGACGGTGGACGACATCAGAAAGAGCACGGG